GGGCCCGGGCCCCCCCGGCTGCCCCCCGTCCACAGCCTGAAGCTGGTGATGGAGTTCAGCTCTGAGGTACAGGCTGGCCACAGCCTTGTCCCCATCCCCACGGGGCCATGGCTCCCTGGCCCTCACCCTCACCCTGCTTCCCAGACTTCCAATGACATCTTCAGTGCCAAGATCCCCCACCACATGCTGCTCTTCCTCAACAAGTCGTCGCCGGCGCAGCTGGGGCTGCAGGACGGATTCCAGGCGGCTGCCCCTGCCTTTCGGGGCCAGGTCAGTAGGTGTCATGGCAGGGACATGCCAGGTGGGGCACCACGGTATCAGTGCTCTTTGTCCCCGACCCAGGTGCTCTTCGTGGTGGTGGACGTGGCTGGGTGTGGGGCTGAAGTCCTGTCCTTCTTTGGCATGACGGCTGCTGATGCCCCCACCCTGCGCCTGGTCAGGATGGAGAACAACCGCAAGTACCGGATGGAGCAGGACACCTTCTCGGACACGGCCATCCGGGCCTTCATCCAGGAGGTGCTGGATGGCAAGGTGAAGGTGAGGAACGCAGCGCTGTGCTGTGGTGCTTCCCTCAGAGTGCTGGGCTGTTCACTCGGAAGCCTAATGATGGCACCAGCCACAGGTCTCTGGTTCTCCTGCTGCCAGGCCTGAGGACCCAGGGGGCTGCTATGGGAAAGGAGGCAGGGCTGTTGATAGGGAGACACACAGAGCTGGCCTGCTGGTGGAGAAGTGCTGGTCCAGAAGGCAGCACAAGAGCAGCCCTGGCCACAGGCTGCGGGGCCACTGTCCCCATCCCTCAGTGTGCCACTCACCCCAGGCTGTGGCTGTCCCTGCTGTCCCCACAGCCACACCTGCTGAGTGCAGAGCCCCCAGAGGGCTGGGACACACGGCCTGTTAAAGTCCTGGTGGGGAAGACCTTCGAGCAGGTGGCGTTTGACGAGACCAAGAACTGCTTTGTCAAATTCTGTAAGTGCTGCCCACAACCCTCCCCGAGCTCTGCAGAGGCTCAGGCCCCTGCTGACAGCCCCCAGCCCTGTCCCCAACCCCTTGCTCAGGAGACACCACACCCTGAGCCCTGGCAGAGCCCCAGGGGTCAGAGCCCCTGCAGCCCAGCACTGCCCCGTCCTGCAGACGCGCCGTGGTGCTCCCACTGCCAGGCCATGGCAGCTGCCTGGGAGGAGCTGGGAGAGCGGTACAAGAACCACGAGGACATTGTCATTGCTGAGATGGACTCCACAGCCAACGAGCTGGAGAACATCACCATCCATGGCTTCCCCACCCTGCACTACTTCCCCGCAGGGCCAGGCAGGAAGGTAGGAGGTGTGGGGGGGGCACTAGTGGGGCCATCCTGGCACTGCCAGCACCCAGGGTTTGTTGGGGTCACAACTCATCTCTCTTCCATCCCATGGCTCCAGATGATTGAGTATAAGAGTGCCCGAGATGTGGAGACCTTCTCCAAGTTCTTGGAAAATGGGGGGACGCTGCCTGAGGAGCCTTCTGTGGTGAGTGAGGTGACCCCACCCCAGGGCAGCTCCTGGCCTTCATGGGACAGGGGGATGGATTGTGTAGGATATGGGGGTGTGTCCCTCTGTGCCTCACTTCTGCCTTTTCCAGGTGCCCAAGGCCCCCGGGAACAGCACGGGCAGGGAGGAGCCGCTGGGAACAGCTGAAACCCGGGAGGAGCTGTGAGCCCCGTCCTGCTCCGCACGTGCTATAAACAACCTGGAATCCATGTGGGCTCCGCTCTGTCTGTGGTTCCCCGGCACTCCTGGGGAGCACCCATGTGTCCTGGGGACACAGCAGGGCTGGTGGGTGCCCCAAGGGGCAGAGCCACCTGAACCCAGGGGTGCTGAGCCAGCACAGCCCTGGCAGCCCTGCAATGACGCGGGGTGGCCAAGGCCACAGAAGACACGGCCCTGGGGGAAGCCCAGTGCTCTCCACGCTGGCCTTTGTGCTGGGCTGCTGGGGTGCAGGTGACGGGGGTCCAGCTGGGGTCTTGTTGTGGCTCCCAGGCAGCTCTCCCACCCTAGGCCTGGGCTCCACAGTCATGTACCAGCCCCAGGAGCTGCCACCACAGTTGGGGAAGCCAAGAGCCCAACAAGGGGCTCCAAGTGCTCCTCTTAAGCCTGGCTCACAGCCCCTTGGAACCTCCTGTGTCCCCTCCAACCCCTGGCACCATCCCCTCTCCCTGGGCCTGCTGCTCCCAGACCTTGGGCAATTCCCCTGGGTACACCACTTTGGTCCCTCAGTGCCAGGACCTGCCTGGCCACCCCTGGAGGGATCCCATGGCTGTTCCAGCCCCACCAGGTGGCAGAGCAGGGCCCTTTCCCTGACCTGCCCCATCCTCTGGCCACCCCAGCGTCTGCTCCGCGGGGAAGGAAGAAACCAGCAGGTGATGGGATGTGGTGTTTTTTTTCATTTTATCCAAGTACCTTTGAAAAGATCATTGTACAAGTCAGCACATGAGAACGCAGAGGAGACATCGCCGGGGCTGCACGGCCACTGTACATATTTACAGGGGAACCCCCTCCCCCAGCCCCGAGAAAAAAACTGGGGAGACGGAGATCCCGGGCACGTTAACAACCTCACCAGACACAACAACCATCAGAATTTCATAAAAAGAAAAAAAAAAAGAAAAACTGGGAGGAAAAAAATGCTTGTAACACTGTTCCCGGGCTGCCCAGGCGGGTGGGTGTTGCTGGACTTCAGGGAGTGTACGGGCGAGTCGCTGCGCCCTGTTTGAAAGGCACTCGGTGACATAAACAACAGGCTGTCCCCTCCTGGGGACACCGCAGCCCCAAGGTGCTGAGGGCAGCAGCAGCACCCACGTGGCAGCCCCCCCAGGCTGTGGGGCCACCCTGGTTTCTGTTGATGGGCGAGGGCTGGTCTCCAAAGGAGAGGGAGCAGAGCGTGGCAGGGGCAGCAGGGCTGGGCAGGGTGGTGGGGGCACCAGAACAGCCCCCCCAGCTTTCTTGCGGCCGAGTAAGCCTGGGAGGGCCTGGGGTGCTGGCTGCCCTGCTGGGGGGTCACCTAGCCCTGTTTGAGCCCCACAAACTGGCATCAACACCCCCTCACTGCTGCTTCCCCTCAGGTACAAACTGACAAAAGACACAGAACTTACAAAAAGACGTGTTGTTTTTTTTTTTTTGTCCTCAGATGTGTCTCATCAGGTCCCTCCCCTCTTGTTTGTACTAAAGAGAGTCCCCTGACCAAAGCTGGAGCTCAGCACCAGGGCCTGGGCATGAGTGCATGGGGCACACAGGTGGCAGAGCTGGGGCACCCTGCTGGGAACTGAACCCTTCCCCAGGGGCACACAGGGCAGGGGCCACGGGACCCCAGCACCCAACTTGCCACCCCAGCTCCCAGCCAGTGCCCACCCTGCAGGAAGCCCCCAGCCCCAAGAGCTGGCACCCACTCTTCCTTGGGATTCACTCAGTCACAAGAAAGCTCAGGAGAAATAAAAACCATCCTACCATGTTCAGCAGCTCAGACTGCCAGGGAGGGTAGAGACCAACTCGTCCCAAAAGGCTCCATGACCTCCAGAGGAGAACTGGGAGCTCAGCCCCTTCATGTGGTTGCAGGGAGGGCAGCTCTGCCCGTCGCTCCAGAACCATCCACAGCAGGGGCTGGGAACAGGGTGCCAGGACAGCCAGGAGCAGCTGGAGTCTGAGGGATGGCTGTACACTTTGGGAGAGATCTGCAGTACCTGTATGTTTTACATTTACATAAGAGCACTGTGACATTGGAAATATTTTCCTTTTATTACAATATATCAAAAATATGCAGCTTTAGTAAACAAGGTCATATTACACTTTCTAATGCACTGTACAATGCTACATTACACTTATATTCGGTATGGAGAGGGAGCCCAGGCTCCCACTGGCAGGTTTGTGGGGTGAAACAGCTTCCACCAGCAACCTGGCACTTGCTCAGGTCCATGCCAGAGCCAGGTGGCCACCCTCTGCCTGGGGCTCACCCAGCACCCATGGCAGTAGCACCACCAGTGTCTGCCCCAGGCCTTCTCCTCCGGTCCCAGAGTCTTTCACAGTCCTGTCCTCAAGCCTCAGCAGCCCTGGAACCTAGTCGATCTTCTCCACCTTGCCAATGATCTTCTCTTCAAAGATGGGCAGGATGGTGTCATCCTCCCTCACCTCCTCGAAGACCACACCACAGTCGAACTCGTCGCTCACTTTCTTAAAGTAATACCTGAAAAACCAGAAATGTGGGGGCAGAGAGGAAGGGAGAAACAAACAAACAAAAGAAGCAGGTGAATGGTTGTGGGGGCACCATGGTCTCCAAACCTGGGTACAGCCCCTCTATGGCCCTAAGCTCATGGTGCATGGGCTCCTCCAGAGGTGGAGGTAACTCTGGCCACATTTTGACCCTGCCCTCACCCACTCAGCCAAAAGGTCAAGATCCAGGCCACGTGGAGGAGCTGAATCCAGCCCTGAATCCAAGCCCATCCACAGCTCTCCCAAAAGCAGGGGCTGAGGCACTTGTACTGGTGGGGTGTTTCTAGGCAGGCTTTTCAATGGCAGCACCTACTTGGAAGGGGGAACTCAGAGAGCTACACATCCCATGCCTGGCTGCTTTGGGATTCCAGGAGGACCCAACCTCCCTGTCCTCACTGGAGGAAACTTTGGGAGGACATCACAGGGTTCCCCCCAGCATCACTGAGCACTGATCCTCACCAGCCCAGGATCCCACTGGGCAGCTCAGCAGCTTCTGTTGAAGGTGCAAACTGCAAACAGCCCTGCTATAAAACCCAATCTCTCTTGTCCCTGTAACCTGCCTTTTCAACAGCCAAGGTTCCCTGGCCATGCTGCTACATCCCCACCACAGCACACCCTGCAGGAGCCCTCTTAGGAGGCCCCAGGTGGAGCTACCTCCACCGTGCTCCCTTCACCTTGGAGGTGGCAACACCGCTACCCTCCGGCAGCAGCGCCTGCCAGGGGTCACTGACAGCCTGCTGGCAACGTACCACACGTGGGGAGCAGCTCTCACCTGTAGTTCCCTTTCTTGGTCAGCAGCTCCTTGAACTGTCCCAGGGTCACCACGCGCCCCTTGACCAGGGTGCGGTAGGGGATGGGCTCCCCACAGAAGTAATAGGCCACCACGATGTTCTCGCACGACTGGGACGCGCCGCTGCCTGGTCTCTTCAGGAGCTTCAACCTGCTGTGCAGAAACACAAGCGACCTGTTGAGTGTCATCAGCCCACCTGCCAGCCTGGGCAGGCCCGACAGAGCCTGGATGGAGATGCTGAATTGGCAGCCAAGGCCCTCAGGAGCATCCTCTGTTCCACCAGCAGCTCCCTGGGCACACAGCCACATGGCAAGGATGGTGAAGGAGCAACTGGCACCTGGAAAGGCTGGATGGGGCCAGGAGGCAGCACCAAGGAGGGTGCAGGTTCTAGCTCAGCCCCTTTGGGCTGAAGGAACCTCTCCCTAGGCTTTGAGATGGGGTGGCCTTCTCCCCAGCACTGCTGCCTTGGGGGTCATCATTCCTAGAGGTGTTCCAAAGATGTGGAGAGCGGCACTTCAGGACCTGGTTTAGTGGGTATGGTGGTATTGGGCTGACAGTTGGACTTGATGATCCTAGAGGTCTATTTCAACCTTAAGGATTCAATGATCCCTAAGCTCCAGGCAAGGCAGAGCATCCCAAGCCCACGGCAGCAGACCCAGGTCACCACCAGCACGTTCCTGGTGTGCAGGGAGCATGCAGGTGTGTGCTTGGGGATGGTGACACAAACACTGCTCACCCCACTCTGGATTCTTGCTGCTGTGGCCAGAACAGCTCCGCACAGCTTCCTCCTCACCTACATATATGCACAGACAGGACCACTCGGATCCCCTCAGCTCCCCTGGGCACCTCTCTCAGTATAGATGGAGGTTGGAGGGGATGGAGCTCCCAATGGAACATGTCCCAGAGGCTTCACAGACTTGACATCTCCTGTGTTTTCCTGCCTCTCAGGATGTTGGTCTGGTCTCTACTTCCAGCCCACACACCAGGGCTTCTGCTACATGGTGCCATCACTAGACCAAAAGCACCAGCCCAGTCCTAGCCCTATTTTCAGAGGTAGACAAAAGTAGCAATAAAAAACCAACCCAGGGTACTTTGCCCTTCTGTAGAGCCTTTCATCTGGGGAGCTGCAAATGCTGCCCAAACACGGCAGCAACCAACACAGACTGGCAACCTGGCAGGTGTGGTGTGAGCCAGAGGCAGGCTGCCCTGTCCAAGTCCCATCAAACAAATTTGGCAGCTGAAAAAAAAAACCCCAGAGTCCTGAAAAAGCAAAAAAGATGGGTAAAAAAGATGATTATTGACGTGGCTGGAAAGTTGCTATAAAAAACGGGCCCTTGCCAAGTGCATGAGGTAATGGCAGTTTTGGACATGACTCCTGACCCTAACCTTTCAAGGTTGGCTCGTGGGTAAAACACCTTTTCATGGCATGCCCACATAAACATGGGCACTGCAAAGCCAGGCCAGACACAATCTTTGCACCTTTCTAAAGGCATGAGAGGTTTAAAGTTCAACTGGACAACCTTCCTGGTGTCTGCTCTGCCTGGGAGACCTTTGGAGAAGATGCAGCATCCTGAGAGGTGAGGGTCTGCTCCTGGTCCAGCAGAGCTCTTGGAGCTTCCCCCATCCCTGTATCAAAGCACAGGATGCCCTTTAGCTAGGAAAACATTCAGGAATTGAATCATCCTTGGAAAAAAATGAAAGGGTCATAAATTCAGGCAAATTCTGTGAGTCAGAAGTTAATGGAAGGGGTTTGGAAAATCTCAAAGTCTCTATGTTTGATCCTGCTAGGCTGCAAAGCCTGCCCAACCACGGCAGAAACCGACACAGACTGGCAACCTGGCAGGTGTGGTGTGAGCCAGAGGCAGGCTGCCCTGTCCAAGTCCCATCAAACAAATTTGGCAGCTGAAAAAAAAAACCCCAGAGTCCTGAAAAAGCAAGCTGGGTAAAAAAGATGATTATTGACGTGGCTGGAAAGTTGTTATAAAAAACGGGCCCTTGCCAAGTGCATGAGGTAATGGCAGTTTTGGACATGACTCCTGACCCTAACCTTTCAAGGTTGGCTCGTGGGTAAAACACCTTTTCATGGCATGCCCACATAAACATGGGCACTGCAAAGCCAGGCCAGACACAATCTTTGCACCTTTCTAAAGGCATGAGAGGTTTAAAGTTCAACTGGACAACCTTCCTGGTGTCTGCTCTGCCTGGGAGACCTTTGGAGAAGATGCAGCATCCTGAGAGGTGAGGGTCTGCTCCTGGTCCAGCAGAGCTCTTGGAGCTTCCCCCATCCCTGTATCAAAGCACAGGATGCCCTTTAGCTAGGAAAACATTCAGGAATTGAATCATCCTTGGAAAAAAATGAAAGGGTCATAAATTCAGGCAAATTCTGTGAGTCAGAAGTTAATGGAAGGGGTTTGGAAAATCTCAAAGTCTCTATGTTTGATCCTGCTAGAAACAAGTCGTGACCAAGAGCTGCTGGGTGCCCTGCTCAGGCAACAAAGCTGTTTTCTCCTGGGGCCTGGGGGAGATGGAGAGAACCCCCCAAAAAGCTCTGCCATGGTTGAAGCAAGAGCAGGACCAGGGCAAGGACTGGGAGCCTTCCTCCTCCTGCCACATAATTCATCCCTGAGATGCCATTTCTGAAGGGGCTCAGCCTGGCTCCAGTGCTCACCTCCTCCCAGAGCAGAGAAGTGCCTGAAAATGAAGCCTGAAATGATGCCTGAAAGCAGAAACCCTGCAGTGCTTCCCAGAGCTGGAGTTAAATCCAACCCCCGTGGTGTGGGTCCCTGGCTTTTGCCATAAATCCAGGCAGGGGTGGACGGCTGTGGTACCTCCAAGCTCCTGGGGCCAAACAAAGCTGTGCAGCAGGAGCCACATGCAACCCACACCACAGCCAACAATCTCTAGCAGGCTGATGAATAAGGAACCACTGAAAATGTAATTTTCCAACAGTTTCTCTCAGGAGAGCAAGACATCACAACTGGCTTTGCTTTGGCCATTACCAAGAGCTCTCCCGAGACCACAGCTCACCCAAGCAGGCTGGGCCTGAGCTCTGCCTCACTGAAGCTTCCCCCTGCAGCCACCTCCTGAGTGGCACCCAGAAACACAGCCAGATGTCACCTCCTTGCCCCTTCAAGCTCCCTTTGCTGCACTTGGCACACACAGACATGACCCGGCCAGGAAAGGGCAGCCCAAGGGCCCCTGCCCCTCACCACCCTCCTGATTTCAGCCATATAAGCTGGTGGTGCCATGACAGGGAAACTGAGTTTGGGTTAGAGCACAAATCCACCCTCACTGTGAAGCAGAGGTGAGGAGGATCCAAGATCAGCAGGATCTCAGAGGTCCTTGCAACCATGACAATGCTGTGATTCTGTGATCCAGCTGTGAACCTAAGTGAGCTGTGACACTGAGCTGCTAAAAATGGCTCCAAATCTGGTTGCACACACAAGAAACCTGATGGTGACTGGGCCACAAAGGCTGGGTACATGGGACCTGCAGGTCACTGGACACTTAATCCTGCACTGCTTCCCAGCAGCAGCCATGTGGCTACCTCAGAGATCAGTGTCCCTCCAAATGCTGCAGAAGAGGGAGAGAAGGGCTTTTTCTGCATCAGAAGTGTGATTTCTGGGAGAGTCTTTGTGATTCCCAGCAGAGACACTGCAGGTGCCTCCTTGATTTCCAGGGGAGCAGGGCAGGGGTGGGAGCTGCACCCTGGCCAGAGCAGTAGACTGGGGAAGGGCAGGGCTGGTGAGCTGGAGAACCATGCCAAGGTGGCCTGGTGCCCATGGCCACTGCCTCAAGGACACCCTGGGGCTCACCTCCACCTCCCCAAGGCTGCTGTCAAACCTGGGCACAGACTCCCTCTTCCCACAGCTCTCCAGAGCTCCCAACTGAACTAAGTGTTTGGGATTTTTTTCCACACATTAACTCCCCTCGTGTTTTCTCCTTCGCTCCCCTTTGGGCAGCCCCTTTCTGAAGAGACTCAGGGTCTGTTTGCAGGGAGGTTCCTGTGCTGACCATAGCAGGAGCTCTCTAAAAACCTCAGGTCTGCTTCAGCTGGAGCACTCCATCCTGCCAAAACCCAGCAGCAAGCCTTCAACATCCAGAAATCCCTGGGGACCACTGCCTCTACTGGCCATGGGTACATTTCCTTTCCATCAGCAATTCCCCACCAGTGAACATGGCTCCTTGGTTTTCCAGGCAGGTGTGGGGGATCCTGCACTGCTGGGAGAAAAGGAGGACCTGGTGGGGAAGCAGTGGAAGCAGAACAGCCCAGCAGCAGGACTGCTCAGCCTGTCCTCCCACTGCTCTGCTCAGCTCTTGCCACTCTTACAAAAAGCTACACTTAAAATACATGGCAAATCATTATTAGACTATTAATTAGAGATGGATGTGGCCCAGGTTGGTGTTCCCAAAGTGTGTAACCTGCATGTAGACATTCCTGGGGAAGGTGCATGAATCTAGCACCAACTGAAAGGAAGAAGAAATGAACTTGGCTTAACCTGAGATGGGAGAGCCCTCTAATTACCTGCCTTTCAATCAGTGCTCTGACATAAAGACACAAGTCTGTGTGGTCTCTGCAAGCAACACTAATTGGAGCTGGGCTGAAAGAGCTGCTTTTAAAAATTACATTCACGTTTCTAAGAGTCAGACACCAAAGTTGCAAGTTTTCAGATTACAGCTCTAAAGCTGTGAAAGGTTTTTAATGGACAAAGTGCTTTTAGCTGCTAAGAGTAATTGCCCAGCACTTCCAAACTGCTTTTCATCTGAGAGCTCCACATGCCTCTCTGAAAGACAACACAGGAGCAGGAGAATTAGCTCCTCAACAGGCATTAAAGCTGAGTCACAAGCAGATGCAGTGACCTGGGCAGGGCTGTGCAGTGACTCCCTGCTGCTGCAGGGGACTGCAGGGCACTGCTCCCACCCTGCAGGGCACTGCTCCCACCCTGTAGGGCACTGCTCCCACCCGGGTGCCAGGGAAGGCCTTTGCTGGAAGCCTGCGGGAGATGCAGAAGAGCAAATACTCTTCAGCCCTTCATTCTGCTGCATCCTGATGAATTCTGCTCCTGCACCAACCTTTGAAAATCCTGGTGTGAGTGTGCATGAGTTGTCAGCCAGTACTGGGGGAGAGAGCTCTTCCATACCATGCCCTTTCCAGACATGCTGCCCTCTGCTCAACTCCTCAAGCTCTCAGCAACCCCTTCCCCACTCTCCTAAAAGCATTTCCAGCCTCTCCATCCAAAAACCACAAGCCTGTGGGTTTTGCCCTTTGCACCACCACGTTAGAAGGACTGGGGAACATTTCTCTGACCTTCTCTTGCATATCCTTCCACCCAGTTGGTGCTGGGAGCTGGAGACCAGAGCAGAGGGGCAGTGGGCATCTCCCTCAGCCACCCACCTCCAGAGCAGTCCCCCCCGTTCCCTCCCACACACCATCAGACCCCATCACCCTACCTTTGTTTAGCGGGGAGTTTCCCAGCCCTTTTTTCCTCCTCTTCCAACCTCCTGCGAGCTTCTTCCAGTTGGGTGAGAGGGTTGGGGGCTGGATTGGGCGGCATGGTAGGATCTTGGATGAAGGGATGAGAAGGCTGGACCACGTTCCGGAGCTGGGCACTGACCCAGGGATGCACAGCGACCGGGCGCTCGATGGAGAGGGATCGCACCGCGTCGTGGGACAGCTGCTTCTTAGCACCTGAAGAGCTGGACACAAAGGTTTAACAAGAGATGGTTGAGCACTCAAGTCACTCCTAGATGGACCTACTGCTCCTACAGTTGGACGTGGGCACCACTGGGAAGGTCCTTACAGCGTGGCTGCTGAGGGAGAGGGGAGCACCATCCACCTCTAGGGGAGATTTCAGGATAGCAAGACCTGAGGGATCAGGATGAGCAACCCAACCCTGAGACAAAGCCCAGATCTGTTTAAGGGCTCTCATCAAGCCCACAATACACAAAAATAAAACTGGCAAAAGGCAGCTCCAGCTTTTCTGACATTCCCTCAGAAGATGCCCTCCCATAGGCTGCTGACACTGCCAGGCTGGGAGCCTCTCCATGAGGTGGGCACCTCCAGGGAAAGGGAGGCTGCAGGGATGTGCTCATCCTTCCCCAGCTCCAGAACCTGCTGCCTGACTTCCCAGTGACCTGGCACTGCCCCTGGCTCTGGTGTTCAGCCCCAGCTGCCTCCAGTGCAACCTGCCCTGGCCACTGCTGTCCAGCAGGAGGAGAAACCACCAGCAGTTCCACCACCCAGCGGCAGAGGGGATGAGACCCCACATCCCTCTCATCAACGCACAGAGACTGACCAGACTGTGATCAAGGACTTGTGCCTGCAGGAGGTCTGCTTTACTCCAGAGAGACTGCTGAGACAGCCACGTCCTTGGCTCCAGTCCAGGCAGGAGAGAACATCCCAGAAGATGCTCCCAGCAAGCTGAAACACTGGGCAACCCTGAGCTGTGCTAAACTGCTTACTCAGGACCAATGGCACCAGTGCAGCAGGTCCTAGGTTTCTACCAGCAGCTTGCAGGAGTGAAACAGCATTTACACACAGCAAGTGCTTCCAGGACAATGAATGCCTACTGTGTGCCCTGGCATCCACCTCAGAACCACAGCAGCACTGTAAGATTCCCCTGGGGCTGCAGCTTCCCCACAAGTCATCCTTCAGAAAAACCTGCCCTTACAGGCCCGGAGCAACTCTCTGTCTCCAAAGGGTCTAAACCCTTGTGCCTGGTTGACTCCTGTCCTCCCAAGGTCTCCAAGGCAGACTGTTGGACAGCCTTGCGCAGAGGATGCAACCCAACAGCATGAAGACCCCTGGCTCAGCTGCTCCTTACCCATGGGTTGTTTTCTTATGCCTGCTGATCTCCTTCTCTCCTTCTATGATCCACTGAAGGATCTTCTGGTTTCTCTCCACATCTTCAGGAGATCCTGGCATCTCATAGTTGGCACCATCACTTTTCCCTGAATCGGTCTTCTTAACATTTCTTTTTGAGAGCAGACTTGCTTTCCCACTGCAAGAAGAAAGCTTGAGACATCAGTGCTTTGCCTGAGCCAAACCACCACAGAAGTGGCATGGGATGGACATGTCTATCTCCAGACATGTTCAGCCCTGCCAGGGTCTGGTGCTACCTGTGGTGCAGAGGTGGCCCTGGCTGCCTTCCACAGCCCCCCTGGCCCTACCACAGCTCAAACCAACCAGGTTGCAGTTTAGGCTAAGAGTGAGACTGGCCAGACCCTGGCATGGCAGGCTTCTCCATCCAGCCACCCATGGAGAAAGGGATCTTCTCCTCTGGCCAAATGAGCCACGGCAAAGTGGCAAAAAGCCCAGATCTCCTGCCACATGAAGGGTTGTGTTAAACCTGCTCAGAGCAAGAGGTTCATCCTACTGCTGCAATCCACTGGCTGCCTCTCCACAACAGACCACTGCTGGAAAGCTGAGCCCTTCCCACCACCACAGACTGCTGATGTGCCACCCTAAGCATCTGCTTCTAATCTCCCACATCATGGTAGGAAGTCACATCCTAGCTGGGGGGACTGCATTCCCATTGGCTCATGTGCCCTGGGAAGCACAGCCACCCCCAACATGGCAGCCAGAGGGACACAAGGCAGGAGACAACACTGGCTGTGCTCTGGCAGCAAAGGCTGTTGCAAACCCCCCAGCTCCTTGCCCACGTCCATGCCCACCTGCCCAGCAGGGTGTCCCCATGCCCACCAGGTCACACAGAACTTGCCCTTGCTGGCCTGCTGCTGCCACACTGTGCAATTTCATGGGACCCTCACTGTCCTCATCACCTACCCACTGTCCTCCATAGGACCTCCTTACTTCTGCTTCTCCCTGCCCACTGACACACAAGAGAAACAACCTTAACCCCAATGAGGAGTCACAGGCCCTCAGACAGCTCTGCTGATTTTTTGGGGGAAAAAAAACTGTAGAGGGCTTGCTGAAGATCAAGAGAGAAGGCCACCTGCCTTCACTAGATATCCCACCCCTGGTATACTGCAAAGCTGAACCAGCACAGCTCTCTCCCATGGCTGCCCCATCCATATATATCATCCTGGGCAGCCTCCAGCTCCACTCACACCTTTGCAGTCATCCAGAACCAGGACAAGCAAAACCTGCAGCTGAGAAGGAGCTTCACCCTCTCCCCTCAGCATGGAGAGATTCCAACAGCCAAGGGAAGATGGGCAGAAGCCCGAAAGGCAGGGATATGGGTCTCCTAAGCAGAAAACTCCCTGCCCCAGGGAATGTCCCCTCGGGACAGGATGTCACTGCAGTGTCCCATGCCTTTGTTGGGAAAAGGAAGGAGCCCTCCTGGCCACCTCAGGACACCAGGGTCTGTTGCCCAGACCGCAGACTCAGCCCTATACTTAGCAACTCCTAACACACAGAGAAGCAGACCAGCATCTGCCATTTCTAAGCACCTCCACTGCATTAAGAAGGAGAAAAGCTCCTTTATAACCAAGACCATTAAGAATCCTGGTTAAAGGGTGTTTCAGAGGTGAAAAGGGGCACGTAAGGGCTGTCAGGGGCCATACCCATTTCTGAAGAGGAAGAGAAGTGGGAAGCCCTTAAACCACTTCCCAGCACAAGCTATCAACAGGGTTCAACCACCCCACTTATGGAAGAGCTTCCTACTGAAGCCACAGCTCTGGGACTTCCCGTTGGGTGTTGCTTTGACTCACCTGTAGCCTAAAGAGTCCATGGGGCCAGGGGCCATGCCCAAGTTTTCAGTGTAGTTTCGTGACTTTGTTGCATAGTTATGTGAATCTACATTCCAGGCAAAGCTGTTCTGCACCCTCTGGGTGGCCTCGGCCTCGATCTGCTCTTTTGGTTTCATCACACTGTGGTGATGGATGTGGTGGTAGACGTGTTTATGGTGGTATAAGTTAGCTGCATCCAGTTTCATTCCTGATTTTGTTGCGTGCTTGCCGTGCCCTGGAGGAATTGTTCCCAGTGTCCCTGACAGCTTTCCTAAGTGGCCACTTTCTGGGGAGCGTGGCTTGGGCGAGTGGCGGCCGGGTCCTGGAGATTGGCAGCCTGGGGTTTTCATCACACGCTGGACGTGCTCGTCGAGGATGCTCTCAGGGTTTTCTTCATGAGCATCTCTCATCTGCATCCCAGCACAGCCCATCTCGGAGTAACGAGGAGCAAAGTGATGGAAGGCTTGGGCAGAAGGCATCTTGTGGCTGAGGACTGAGGGGCCAGAAGAGATATCTGCATCCTCACCTTCTTCTTCCTGCAAGAAACAGCAGGGCAATCAGAGAATGACAGCAGGGTGGCAGAAGGGGTCTCTAGTCTCACCTCCTGCTTGCAGCAGGACTGCTGCCAACCTTTGAAGGGGTCAGGCCTGGCTTTGTCCAGCCAGATCTAGCAAACCTTCAAGGTAGAGATCCACCATCCCTCTGTAGTCCTGTCCCAGACTCTGCCAACCTCCTGCAGAAGATTTCCTTAATGCTCAACCCAAGCCTGTGCAGTTTTGCTGCCACCCAGCAAAGCTGTTCAGGTCTCTACCTGCTTTCTGAGCTATCAGCAAGGGTTCTCCAGGCATAACCCAGCAAGACCGAGGCAACGGGACAGGCAGCTCACACATCACAACCAGGGTTTACAGAGGCAGCTTCCTGATGAGCACAACAACTCAGGTTGTAGGGTGTAGGAGCAGGCAGCAGGA